CCCCAAAACCCCAAAACCCCATTAATAGGTTATATTTAAGAAACGAGTTGATGGTAAAATAAAAATAAGTCTAGTAATTTTACATATGATTCATTCTTTATTAAATTAATAAAACTAGCTTTTTGGTAATCATTTTAATCAGTCTTCTTAAGCATACAACGCATCGCTCAATATTCCGAATAATTAACATATTTGAATAGTTGGCTAAGCACTCTTGGATGAATAGTCCTTAACTGAAGGATAAAGTTCGGAAATCAGTAATGATCTAGAACTGTGGTCGGGAATTTCTTCATTAGATGATTATTTGCTCAAACTTACGGATAGCTATTATGAAGCTTGCTTCAATAGTTTTTATTCCTTTCTATCGAATACTTTGTCAATAAGTTCATCATCAAGAGAAATTCCTTTTTAATTTATATATTCTACGGCTTTCTCTAAAGAGCCTCCACTTCTAATGTATTCCTGAGTCCTCTTCAAGATTTCTAACTTTTTCTTGTAGTTCATGTCTCCTTAGACTTGCAAAAACTAATCAAAATCTTTTTGCATTATAGTTCTCTTGTAGTGATTCTAGGGCATAGCAACTAGAGGAGAAGATTAAACTAAGTGTCCATATATCTAATCAAGAATTAAGCTTCTTGATTGCTTAACTTTAATCTGTCTTATCATATCTTTGATACTTTACAAATCTTCTTTAAGCAGTTGTATTTCTTTTCTAGAAAATACTGCTTCTAAAAGATGGTCGTTAATGTCAATGCCATGGTTTTTAATATTTTATCTCACGGTCTGAAGCGTCATTGTCCTAGTCTTAAGTTAATGTCTTAAATGTTTCAAGTATTAGATATCCTACTCTTCCTACTCGACTGAATAAGCAGCTTGAACGTTCAGTAAATCATCAAATATTTCTTCGTGAACGTTTTATGCGAAGATTGGATGAGTTGCCACAGTTCTGTATCTGTTTGCTTCAACAGCCAAATCATTTTCAATGAGTGCAAACTATCCGCATTATAAGCAAGAGTTAGCAGTTCCAAGTAGTAAAGCCGAGGCAATAGCAATGTATTTCTTCATTGTG